ATAAAATTTTAGGAATCAGATTTTTAAAAAAAATTTATTGCGCTGGTCTCAAAAAATTCTTTTCAAAAATTTTGAAAATGTATGAAACTAGTTATGTTGAGACTACTAAAATTTTAAAATCGAAAATATCTAAGTCGTACGACATGTGTGACGTTGCAAATCTTTTGAAGCATCAGATTCTTAATTTTTTTTTTTTTAATTTTTGTGTTATAATACAGTATGTTCCTACAGCGTTACTTTCAGAAAATGTAAGTTTCTGAATATTTAGGAAGTGCCATCTGCGACTACAAATTTTCAAACCTTTCCGAATACTAAATAGTGCAATTTTGTAATGCGTCGTAACCAAGATTTCTTTAATCCCACTGTTTCTGTTTCACAATTCGAGGATTTATTAAAATCTTTAAATTCTCGGAATATTCTAAAACTAAAAGAAAACTCCTACACACATAAAATAACAAATACTTTTCTAGCTGTTTTGTACGCGTATAATCTGTGTAAGTTGCCTTTTTATGATAATAAAAACATGATGTTTTTACGTTTGCAGACGAGTGCTATTCAATAAAAACCATAACTGATTGTTCCTTCTATAAGTGTAAAAGGATAACTGCCTTTACACGTTTTATAAACGAAAATAGCTGCAGGAGGTAATGTTATTATTAGTTGGTGTACACTGTTTCACATAAAATTTTATCTTACCAATTTTGTCAAACGGCAATCAAATTTATCCGTGTACTGCTATTTTTTTGGGATTAACATGTGGATATCGAGGAAAATCTCGAAATAACTTCGGACAGAAAAATACATTTGTTGTACACGTTATGTTAAAAGATAATGAAATTCTTTGTTAATGTCGAAATTTTTTCGTGAATAAATTAAACTGAGTATGGTCATTTAGAACCTGTAGTTATAAAAGGTATCAATTTGAAAATTTTAGCATAAAATTTCTCTTGCAAATTTGTGACGATATTAATCATCTAAGTAGTAAAAAATAAAATTTTGCAGAATCCAGAAGTGGAACAAATAATATTTACTTTCAGATACTCTTTTCAAACATGCTATAAACTTACTTATTATGTAATATACTATTATTTATTTACATGGTAAGAGGCAGATTTTTAAATATTTCGAAATAGCCTTACAACTGTATGGAAGTTTTAAATCCTCTTTATATCATTTTCGTGAACAAAACTTGTAGCTAATTAACTTTGGTTAAATTTTCTTCTCCATTTTTGTCCTGGATAATCCTTTTTTTATCCACCTCGTATAAATTTCTAAATTAATTACGGTCCTTTTTTCCACCATAACCACAAGCAATTTGCGGCCGCCCACACTCTCTTCGCGTCTTTAAATCTCGCTCCACGCATCACAAATGGTGGATGCGCCGGTTTCACAATTCAACACCTACTCATAAAACACAATAATTCCCCCGTCGTAAGGTTGCCGCGGCATTGTAAAGTGAAAGATCACGCCGTTTGATATTTCGCTAAATTCCAAAGGTTACAGGGTTTTAGAGCCGCTGAAACGATCGAATAATGAAAAGCGGAACGTGTTTTTCCGATACGATGTTATTGTGACATCCGACCCCCACGGAGACAGCAGCCGCTGGAAAACATCCATCCGAGTGAATGAGGGACGAAACGTCGGGGCACGAATATGGGACAGTGTGCCAGATCGATAGCTCGTTTTCGGAGCAGGATCAGCGGCGGTACATCCGGAAGTTTTTTTGATGGGGCTTCGATCGCCGTTCGAGTATCGCAGGGGATGAGGAGATTATCGTTTACATGGAACGCGCTTTTTTCGCGCTTTCGGCGAATTTGCGGTGCGCGGAGGCGAGATCCGGCGGCGGCGGGGCGGTACGTTTATTATTATTAGATTAGGCGAAATTTTCGGTGTTGAAATTCCGGGGTATCTGAGCGTTTTGCCTTTTTTTATTTCTTTTAGTTAAAATCGGTTTTAGATTTCCATGTGTCTATCTGTTATCGATTTAGGCGGTAATCTGCGAAACTATTTCTAATCGAAATTTGTTTTTTCATCCCCACCACCAGTTTAATGACGTCAATTCGGAATTTTGCGGATTAAATCCTATTTAAATTTTACAAAATAATGTGCTTTGGTAAGTGCGATTGATTAATACATCCGTATTTGTTTTTGGTAGGTAAGGTCCTCATAAAAATAAAATCTACGAAATCAACTTTTATAATTTATTTAATCTAACAAACTGAACGTGTTTAATAATGTTTCAGAGGCGACGGAAGTGCCGCTTAAATAACTTTTGGAGGCTATTAATAACGAACGAAAAATAAATTTTAGAGCATTTTCAAATGCATAGGTTCAGAAATAAAAAAATATAAAACAATAAGCGAAATACTTGGCTAACAGAATCAAAATAGTGAGTGACTCTGAAATGTAAAATTTCTAATGTTTGCGTATTATGTTTTTTTTATAATTTGTAAGTATGTACATAACTCATTTGATTTCGCGAACTGACATTCATAGTTTTTAAAATCGTGATTCAAAGTATCATTTGTATTATACCACTAAAATACACACGAAAGGGTTTGTCTATTTCTGTCGTCATATAGCTAGTCTGCATGTTTTTTTTTATATATATTTTTTATTTTTTGATTAAAACAAACACCAATCTACCTTTTCATTTATTTTTTAAAACGCTTTTAGCAGTGTAAACATGCTTTAAGCACGTATAAATGACACTTCTAGCTCGATATATTTATTTAACTTTTTTCTAACTACAGTTCGATGACGGCAATTATTAGTAGTCAGAGAGTGGTGACGTACTGTGGCTGATGTTCTCCACTGACAATTCGCTATTAGACTCATATCTCTGGAACTACCGAACCGATTGCTTTGAAATTTTAGGTATATACTGTAAGATCGTCATTTTTTCTCGAATTAGATTCCCTTGAAATTTGTTATACTATCAAATTTGTGGGAAGAAAATTTTCAATTTATTGTAGAACCTAAATAATGGACTTCTTTGACTTCTTTGATGTTGTATATTTTTAAACTATTTACACACAACGTGTCAAATATGCGTGAATGAGAAGACTTATTTCATTAATCATTATTACTAATTATGCACGAGAAGTAAGGGAAACACTACCTTAAAATATGTAACTTTTAATAATATGCATTGTTGATCTCACAAAAATAGCAGTTTATAATATGCTGTGTAGTTCACTTTTAGTTGGCACCACCGAAAACCCATTAATAATTCTTTTCCTACGTACTCGCGGTGTTGCCAATATGTTAAAAGCACCTACAATACAAGAATAAATCGTTTATGAATTTTGCACCGAATTTTTGTTTTTCTGCTTCTGTGGATAAATTCTGTTAACAAGTAAAAGACTATCTTTAGATTTCTCCTCTCATTATGAATTAATTTAATCATAGCTTAAAATATAATTGAAATTTTCTTTTAATTTTTATTTCCCTAAGCTAAGGAAAAGGAAGTATTGCAATCGAGTTTATCGGTTTATCTCGATGGGTCATAACCCCTAGAATACGAAAAAATAAGTCGCCCGTTTCCGTCTGTCTGTCCGTCCGCAATCTGTGTCGATTTTTGTTAGACAGGTAATTTCCGAAAATACCGGACGGATTGTTATAAAATTTTACATGTGTATTATGAATACCGTGTAGGTGGTAAAACGCTGACCAAATTTTGTCCAATCATCCCCACCAACAATATTATGACATGTCAAAATTGTATATAGTAAATGGGTTTTAAATTGTATAAAATAGATACACCTGCACGTGTAGTTTATGAATCCATGTTGAGTTTTTAGCCAAGACATTCAGATTTTTGAAAAAAGTAAACATCGTGTTGCAACATTTTGCAATTTAATTTTGAATCTGCCAGACCGAATGCTTTGAAATCTTTCAGACGTTTTTAAGTTATCGTAAGCATGGTAAATTTGTAATCAAAATATATTTGTTTATCCTCTTCCCCATAAAAAACTTATAACGTCATCTCAAAATGTTGCCGAATAAATCCGGCCGCCTTCCTGTCCAAAGTGTACAAAATATGAGGAGTCTATACATATGATTTATCATTGCATTAATATTTTTAAAATTGCTTATACAGGGTGATTCAAAATAATGAATGACAGAATAAATTTATTTTATTGTCTAAACAGGAACTGCAAAACCAAATGTTTTGAAGGATTGCAGACATTTTAAAGTAGTCATAAGCATAATAAATTTTTGATTAAAACATATTTATTTAAACTTAATGTACCAGGAACTGCAAAAAAGCATTTCAAAATTTAAACAGCATACGTTGTTTGCTAAAATATAAAAGTTTGATTCTTACATTTCTTCTTTGAGATTTTTAACTCTAGAGTGTTCAATGCAGATGCTGGTACTATATTATGATTACGCGTGATAGTCTTTTATTGTACAAATTCAGCCAGTCGATTAAAGTTTTGGCTGACTTACTATTTCAGGACCTGACCTAATTTGAGCTGATTTGACCTGATCTGGCCTGACTCGACCAGATTTGACTTGACCTGATCTGAACTAAAGTGTTGTTTCAGAACTCAGATTGTATTAATAAGATAATGCATTTAAAATTATTAGTAATGAATTAATGATAAATTTTTAATTGAAGCTCTCTGTTTCTCGTCTCATTTTGTTTCTTTTTCTGTAACGTAAGAAATAATCCAATTGTGCTAATTTTGTTTCGCTGGTGATGTGCCCACTTCACCCACATAATTTTTGTATTTTATTAAATCAGAAGCTATTACGTATTATAAAAACAAACAAACACTTTATGTGTAGTTTTGTTTCCATTGTAAAGTTGCTACACTTGTCTCCTGGTTTTTCTCATTTTGTTATAATATTAATTGTATGATTATGATTGTCGATAAACTTACGATGCTTAGATTTTTTATTGTTTTCTATAATATTTGTTTATTGAAATATCATAGCATATAATATGTCATTTACCGTAAATTGACAATTGTTTTTCTTTTTTTTTTCAGATAAATAACCCCATCGAAAATTCAAACAATGGAAACTGAAATGTGTAGGTAAGTACCCGTCACCAAAAAATCCGTAATCAAAATCCCACCAATTCTCCAGTTACCACGTACTTCGAGGCAGTTAACACAATGCAACAGAGGGGATACACGACAATGAATATCGAAAATGAAGAAAAATCATCTCCATCCTCTCGAGGACGAGTAAGCCGCCCACCTTTAACTGCCCCAACTAACGCTGTCCTTTTAGCACAATTCTAAATTAAAAGTTTTGGTTCGAAGTCACGCCATCCGCGAAGAAGCCTCCCCTCCGCGCGAATCCTCCCCCTCCCGTCTGATCTCCCCCAGCATCAAGGTCATCCCTTCCACCGAAACGTCTCCGGCGCGCACCTCCCCTTCCGGCAACCCCGTCGTCGTCTTAAGCCCCTCGCTTAGCCAAGTCAACACTCCACCGCTGTCCCCCGCATGCGCCTCCCCCACCTCTACTCTCGTGCCGTCGCCCACGGCGCGCGGTTCCCCCCAGAACTCCCCCCAGCACGAGCGGTCGGAGGGGGGCGACGACGTTTCGAGCCCGAAGTACCTCAACAGGCTGAACAGGCAGAACCTGGAGAAGGACGCGAGGAGGGAAACAGCTAGTCATAACAGTAGGAAGAAGATCATTTGCGATTGTTCGAATCAAAACTGCGCTAAGTGCCGGAGCCAAGAGCGGAACTTCAACAATAATCTCACGAACGTCAATAATAACGTGCAGAGCTCAAACACGTTGACGGTGAACAGGGTGAACGCGAGGAACAAGCTAAGGCAGCAAAGCTCGTCGCAAGGGAGCTTCGAGGGAAGCTCGTCTAACTCGCCATGCTTATCTAGAGGTTTGGGTTTCGGTTTTTTTTGGATTTACTGGGTTGGTAACGAGGAGTCTCTTGCAGATAGTAGTTCGGAACAATACACGGATACGTCAGGTGCTGATCTCGAAGTGTTTATACCTGAGACTATTAACAGAAATGCTAAAGATAGAGCGTTCATGCTGAGAATCGAACAGGAACTAGTCAGTCTTGCCAAAGATAAAACGTAAGCGGCGTAGTCGTTGAATGATATGTCAAAGTTGAGTCGATGGCGTGGGGAAATTGTCCGAAGGCACGCTAGCTTTTTTTTTTTCTTTTTTTCTTTTGTAAAAGCCAGAATTATCTGATGCGATTTATACTTTTTTTTTTACTTTGACGTGAAAAGAGCCGGTGACGATGTTTACGCTGCGACAGCAATAACATGAATTATTTCCAGGAAATGGGCCAATTTGTTACTTGGTCGTACTGTAATGAATTTCCTTATCTAACAATTCTTAGTTGCGTAGGTCCGTTCGTCTCACTTTTATTATTTAAAAATAAATTTAGTTTAACATGGTCTGCCCCAGTCTTCATCAATAAAAGGTTAAGAACGTCATTAGTTCATTTCTTAGGAGGCCGGAAATCTTTATCACGTCTTGTAGTGAAGAACTAGGAAATTGCATTTACCTACCAAATTGGAAAATCTAAACTTTAAATTGTTTATTTATATTTTGGTACTTGAACTTTTTTATCTAACTCGTATTTTTATCAATTAAAAATAATCTTGATTTGAGCTTTCTCGTTCTCGCTCAGGCCAAAAGCTTTATCACATTCCGTGTTATATGAGGAACCTAAGAAATTACATCACTTTTGGCTATACCTAGCCAAAGTTGAAAATTTAAACTTTATATTTGGTTACTTGTCATCGTTAATTCGTCCTAGTCACACTCCAAAACGACATTAAATGGTTTCTGCAAAGGTCCAAAATCTTTAGCAGGCTACTCTTTATAACATGGATCGCTAGAAATGATCGAACTTTAAAATTTAAACTTTACATTTTGCTAAAGTGTGTTTCGCCGCTGCGTTGCCTTCGACGACTTCTCCGCTGCTAATCAGCTCGCGCGGAAGGAAGCCAAAAGTTCCTAATCGCAGACTTTCCAGTAAAACTCACTACAAATTTCCTCCGATGTCGAGCTACCAGCGGATGCTCGTTCATCGGTGCGCGGCTTACTTCGGCATGGACCACAATATCGAATCCTCCGGTAAATGCGTCGTCGTGAACAAGACGAAGAACACCCGAATTCCCGAAGTAAGCTTCAAGGAGCATATAAAGGGGGACGTCGTGTTCAGCGAAGAGCCGAGACGCTCGATACTCAAAAGGGACTCGAACAGCGTCGAAGACTACGGCTTCAAGTCCCCAGATAGGCAATACTCGCTGGAGAACCGGCGCAGCAAGAGCTTCGAAGAGCGGGAAGAAGAGTATGCTAAAGTAAGGAGAAGAATTTTTAATAGAGAGGTATTGTATTGAAGTGAATGTTGTGTCGAGGTGCATATTTACGTATTTTAATAGGAGTTGTGTTTGTTGCGTCAGATGCAGGATGGGTCGAATGAGGATTTCGAGTGGGCCGAGATGCCTTGGTCGAGTACCGACAGCGATAATTCGTCCAGGTTCAGGCTGCAGTTGCCCGAGCACGGAAGGCGGCTGGGGAAGTTAACTAAAGTCGGTAGTCGATCATGCGGTGGGAGCGTTTAACCCTTGAGTTGTTCCGCAGGTTCTGTCCGAGGAAGCCGGCGAGACTTCGAGACCTTACGTCGCCAAAAGCTACAGCTTCGGCGGGTATGCGGGGGTCCTGAACCGAGGCGACAGCGTGGTGTCGACCCACAGCGCCGGCCCCAGACTTTTAACAAAACAAGGTCAGTCCTTGATACACCCAAACACACAGAGATTCTTAGCGAACTTTGTGGTAGTCGAGGAAAGACTGTTGGCACTAGGTGATTGTTTTTCTTTTTTGTTGCTTTTTCAATTTTATCACCCGCCGGAACCTCTTTCAGTATTCCGTTTCTTCCTAGATTCTGGAGCCAGTTCGGTCTCGTGGCGCTTGAGCCCCTCCAGCTCAGGCTACAAGTCACAGTCGCAAATGTCCGAATCTATAACCCCTTCCCCCACGTCCACCCCCAACCAGATCATCGAGTCGGGCCGCCAGGACGAGCTAGCCCACGATAAAGAATCGAGCGATTCGCGTATAGTTTGGGCCGTCACGGACATCCAGAGAGTACCGAAAGGCAGTATTATCATAAATCCGCAAACCGGAGAACCCATTAAGAACGAGGATGGGTCTCTTTATCACTACGACCCCAACAATCCGCCGCCGGGGTTCGTCAGTAACGCCTCTAAGCCGCCGCCTTCACCGAAGAAGATCTCGCCGCAAGCGTCGCCGAAGAAACGATCTTCTAAACTTTCGCCTAGTCATAAGTCGCATTTGACCAACAGTTCGACAAGTCCTAGTTTGCCTTATTCCCCGCCTTTACCGCATGTCCCGCAGCAGAGAAGTTTCCAGTTCGTACCAGGAATGGGCGACGGTATGTCCATGGGACAGCAACAGTATCCGGTGTATGGGCCCGGGTACGCGCCGCCCCCAACCCACGAGAACGTGCAATATTACCAACAGCCGTGCATCGTATACACGACACCGTACAGCGTGCCGATATCGCCTCACTTCGAGGGGAGAATGGTAAGAACGAGAGTGTGATATCGCAGATCTTTACAACTAATTGTCGATTTTACCCGTAAGGACCCCCAACCGATGAACGAGATGAGCGGCAGCTACTACGACGGCACCCCGGCCCCTCAGACCCTTACATATCAGCAACCCCCGCCGTCATATTGGAACCAGCAACCCATCACGTATTTCCAGAATGCTCCCAGTTCGAATCCCACTCCACCGCAACGGTTTCCCGTCCACCCGCCGAACCAAACGAACTACATGTCTTCATTCCCTCAGAACTACCTCCCCCCGCCGAACCAAGCACCTCCGCCACCTCCTAGCACCGATCTAGTCCCAGTCTACTCCCAACAGCCCGTCCAGCTCGTCTACTCTACGCAACCCAGCCAATCCAACCCCCCCGTCATGTACCCCAACCAGCCTAACATCGTCTACGCGCAAAACCCCATCTATTCCAGCCCCATGTACCCCTCTCAGCCCCTACCACCCTACCCTCACAACACTTCCACCCCCAACAGTTGCACGTCGTCGATCTCTCACACGCAGTTTTCTAGTCACGTGCAGGAACAGAACCACCAGAACGTGATGCAGTTGACGCAGAACATGTCTCAGTTGAGTTTCATGCAGAACCAAGCTCCGAACCATCCGAATTACGTCATGAATAAAATGACGTCGCCACCACATTTCGATGTCAGGCAACAGAAGGCGTGCACGCCGAAGGGTGGCAAGTTCGGAAGCGGGCCGAAGGGGTTCGTGTTAGGTTCGAGCCAGAGTAGTACCGGGACGAATTCGCCGGCAGCAACGGTAGTGGCGGGGTACTGTCCCCAGAACGCCGGCATGTACAGGACGCCGCCGGAGACGCCTCCGAACCAGTACGGCTACGGACCCGGCTTTCCCGTGCCGCCAATGCTGCTGAGACAGGTAAGGAAGCGTTGCTCGTTTAGCCCGCTTGTTGCGAAGTTGCTCGCTTAACCCGTTCTATGTGTAGTTTTGTCTTCAGATGAGCAACGTTCGCGCGAACACTCCCGGTACGGCCAGAAGCAGCCGGTCTCCGACCCCCGCCAGCGAGGTCTCGCATTTCGACAGGCCAAGGATACCGCCTCCAGCTGTATATCACGGTATGCCTTACGTCCTTCCAAGTGAGTCGCTTAAGTTTTGTTTAAGCTCGACGCTAACAGTGTTTTTGGTAGCTGATAACAGGATTATTCCTGGCAGAAATCAACCCAACCCCTACCGGCACCCGCCGCCCGTGCAGCAAAGTTTCGGCCATCAAGCTTCTGAGAACAAAGCACACAAATCTCGAAAGTCGAAGTGAGGGGATTGTTTGTGCGTGTTGGTTTTTATTGACTTGTTTTTTTCTAGGGGAAATAAACTGTCAGGTGTACCACCGAACGCAAAATAACTAAGTCAACCGATTTGATTTTTGTATAGTGTTATTAAGAGAAAAAAAAAATAAACTGTATAGGTTTTAACATCGATTTTTGTGCTGCCCTGCAATTGTTAAGCGTTAAGGTAAGAAGTTCCTTTTAATTTAAGACGTCACTTTTATTTATTTAGCGAACGATGATGCCATTTATGAGATTACAGCGTTTTTAGTTGCCACAATAAACAAATTTGCTCAATTGTTTTATTTCGCACAATTATTTTTCGTTGTAATTAATGAGAGTTGTTTTATCGATCGATTGGCGTTCGTCTTACCTACATGTGAATTTCAAAACTGGGCCTCTTAATGAAAAGACAATCTATTTTGTTGTACGCGAATTGTAAATAGAACCATGAAGGGTCCATTTTAGGTGTACACATTTTTTGTATTTACGATTTTTTGCCTGAAATGTGTTCAACTAAAAAAAGATACAATAATTGACACTTTTTTTCCCTTTAAATGTGAATTATGGACATGCAACTGTTATTTGTAAATTGTATTGAATTTATTAAGAAATTTTATAAAAACTGTTGAATGTTTTCCTATTTTAGATCAACAATTTGATTAATATGTGTTAAGCTGGACAGTTTCTACGATGATTTATTACGCGTGATTTTTACTCGTTTATGTTAATATAGTTGGTTGTTGGGTTCCACTCAGAATTGTTGGTCTAAAATTAATCGGTAACGGATTTTTTACCGTTCGAGAAAATTCCATCCATTTCTAGTACTTTTTCCAAAGTAATTTTACACACTTCATAATTCAAATTGTAATTTTTGAAGTCAATTACAATACATAAGAAAAACTTATCCGATTTTCTGATAATACGATGTGTACTTAATTTTTATGTATGGAAATGAACTTCTTGGAAAGCTGATGTAAGTCGTTCTTCGTCTCGGATATCAGATTTCCAGCTGTGAAATAAAAACAAATATGATATGTACATCATTTTAAAATTGATATTTTCAAAGTAGTATTAATCATTGTTGTAGAAATTTAGAAATTCATTTGTATTTCCAAGATAGTTTTTTTATGTTTGTAATGATTTTATTTATTATTTGTGTTCTAATGTGCCTCGGACACTTGTAAATTAAAGTTATTTAATAAATATGGACGTTTTTTCGACCCGACCCCATCGCATGTATTACCAACCACAATTCCAGGTAAAAGTCTTGCTCAAAACAGGTAAGTAACAAAAAAAACTGAACATGAAAAGAAATCGTTTTCCGCTACATCATCAAGTAAAGCAAATATTTAGCCGCCTCTTCTAATCAGTGTTCTCAACTACGTGTAATAAATTTTATTTGTGTTAATTAAATTTTAGTAACTGCCGTAAAGCTGCCATGATACTTTCTACTTCAAAGATTAAAATAACATATACATCCGTTCACCATTTCAAAGGCGCGTCACTCATTTCAGTTGAGATTTACACAGGAAATTCTTAACAGAGAATCGACACATCATGAATATCGCGTAGTTCAATAATCACCAACAGAAAAAACGTCACGACAAAACGTAGTTTGTTAAATAGCTACAACAAAGAAGAACAAAAAATATCTCTGATCTGACGTTTATACGAATGTGGGAATATTGGCACTGAGAGCGTTGCGACCAAATTGAAACTTTTAACTTCGTCAAAGTGTGAACACTATTTCCGAGGGTCTTTCTTTTTAGTAACAGATGATCACCGGCGTCAGACTCACCCTAAATGGGCACACCATTTATGCTAAAAAAGGTATTATTAAAACATTTTTTGTGATGACGTCAACAAGTTTCTCGAAAGGTGACCACTGATCTTTCTAATCTCCAAACGAGTGTCAGTGTTTTACCAAAAATTGGAAAAAGTAGGAAAACATTTTGACAGGCGAAAATATGAAACCTACACTTTAGTATTTCACAATCTATAGAACACTAACTTCGCTTTTTCTGCTGGCCTTTATTGTCAGGAAGTGGTAGTTTTGGGAGGAAATGTATAATTTAACTGTGGCTAAAGTAGTCTACAAGGAATTTCAACGCTTTCCGTAGTAACTGTCTGGGGAAAGAAAAGTGCTATTCTCTACTGGGATTTTATCGATCAGTTTTTCCAAATGGAACGATTCAACGTAATCGACAATAAATAAAAATACTGTTCGTAGTGAAGTGAGCTTTAAGGTAGGCAGCATACAATTCACGTGGAATGATATTCTGCATAAAAGAGGTTGAAGCTTGTCGCTCCCCAATAATAATTTAATGTTAAATAACGCACACACTCTGTAAGGGTTAATATGAGCTCCATGTATTTTTTTTTTTTTTTCTATTAAAAAACTATGAATGTCGTATCTTAGGGATAGGATTTTACATAAACAGCACGGAGTTAGATTCTACAATTAGGTACTTTTTTATGAATAGCAGTATTCTGGATGATCTTATTTGGATGAATCAAGAACAAGGTATAAACTATAAAATAAAATTTATTATTTTCCTTAGATCTACAACGTGTGCACTTAAATTATGTATCAACTATTCTGCTGAATCTTCTGTGGTTGATTTTGTATATCAATATCTTATTCTACATCATTAAAGTAATCTAATAAGAGAGAAACAATAGACTTGTGGTAACTAAAATACGAGATAAATACTTTTGGTTGAAATGTGTGGTGACTAAATTTGAATTAACATTTTGCGCTGAAAGAAAAAAAAACAACAGCACGAAATCGCATTTGAATAGATACCTAGTTTGAATTAAAAAAAAATTCTTGTTTTGTAGAGGGATGACGCGTCACGATTGTTTGGTATGTGTGAGCGGAAGCACGCGGTTAGCTGGCTAGGTTAAGTTTAGTTGGTTTGGTAGTTAAAAAAAAGGAGGAAGCGTAGCTAATTCTTGCTAGGAGATTTCACGAAATTCACTTAGGCAGGGTGCATCCTTTATTTATCAAGTTGTAAATAAGGTTTCTGGATGCTTAAACTTAAGTGTTATATTATAATTTCTCACACAAGATTGCTAATAGTTCATTTACGGCAGATATCTCAACCTAACGTTGTCCCACTCTGGGAAAAAGACCGTGGAAAGTGCGGTAGAATTCATAATATCGCGGACTGAGGGTCGAGGGGATTAAAATTTTCCCCTTAGGCAGTTATCATCACGTCATCGTCATCACATCACCGAGACATTTTTGTCGCGGGATGCATTTTGTGTTTATTTTATCATGTGTTTTGTTTAGGATAAGCTGTAGACAGTGCATTATATAAACTCTCAAAGCTAATTGTTTTAAGTAACCAGTCTCTTGAATCATGGCATAATTTAGCATCATATAAATTCTTTGTTAGAATCGTCGATAAAGTGTGGCATAATTTAGCATCATGTAAATTCTTTATTTAAATCGTTGATAAAGTGGAGCAAATGTTAAACTCATGTAATTTTGTCATAAATTTTTGGTAGCTTTTTTACCATCTAAATATTTTGTTGATTAATGCTTCCATCATATGAATTGCCTGATGTTCAATCGTAATCTCAGATAAAAATTCTTTGCTGTTTAAAATTTCACGTGAGTGCATGGCGAATTTAAATGTTGTTTATTGCTCCTTTTGAAACTTTAACACTTGTTCAGTCGTAGTTTAATATCAGAGTTATAGAGATTGAACATTTAAATTGAATTAACGTAACTAACAAAGGAACACATGGCGAAAGCGGAGTGCGCGGTTCCTTGTCGATCTGCACAAAGAATGCAGGCCTTGAATAGAAGTCAAGGGCGGTCGGGATGACGTGAAGCTGTCGGCTTGTCCCAATAGGCGGGACCCAACCACGAGTTTGGGACCGTAACGGCCTGCTCGTACGGCATCTCCGTGATAGAGGGGTGCTGGGCGGCAGTGCTTGCCGATAGAATAGAATGACCGTCGTGGGTAGGAGAAAAACCAGAATGAGGAGCCCCAAACTCCGCTCGTGCTACAACGCCACCTATGGGTATTTTTTCTGTGCGCCCCACTGCATAACGTTTTTATTAAAATTTTGTTCTCTTGTTGACTACCATAATTTTGGCACACATTGGTACAAATTTAACAAAGCAAAATCTTAATTGAAGTAACTGGATGCAAATATACAAGTTATTACGGGCGTGTGGCCGCAGATCTTAAAGTTACGGCAGTTAATAGGAGCACAACAAAAGTACCCCCGGGGCGTGCTAGCACAAGCGGAGTTTGGGGCTACCGGTCTGGAGCTGTTCTCCCCCCACGACGGTGATTCTATCTATCGCAAAGCCTACCTGCACGCACCCCCATTACGATCATGCTGCGCGAAACTAGGCCATTATGGTCGCCACACCCGCAAGTAGATCTAGGCTAGCATGAAGCCTAGAACGTTATCACATCGGCGGCCGCCCCTGAATCTATCCACACCTGTGTACAGGTGACACGATAAATCTCGCCAGCTCGACTAGGAACCGCACTTCGCTTCTGCCACGTTTTCTGTGTTATTTAACCTCAATTCCATTTTTAAATGTTCAATCTCTAATAACTGAACAAATGTTAAAGTTTCAACGAGCAATAAACAACATTTAAATTCGCCATACAATCTTGTGAAATTTTAAACAACAAATAATTCTTATGTGAGATTAAAATTGGACATCAAATAATTTATACGATGGAAACATTCATCAACAAAATATTTACAAAACGAAACATCGCAAAGATTTATAAAAACAAAAGATCTGGTGTGAAATAAACTTGTGCGAATAAAAATATTATGTTAGGTTAAAATTGCAGAGCATGGAATTTACGTTCAATTAAAATTATACAACAAAGGAAAATTACTGAGGTTAAAATTGTGAAATTAAAGAAATATTGTATGAGGTGAAAATTTGCAGAGTTAACAAAAGTTACATGAGATTAATATTTGCCACACTTTATCAACGGTTCAAACAAAGAGTTTACATTATGTCAAATTATATCATGATCTAAGTGGTTGGTTAAAAACAATTTACTTTGAGACTTTAAAATACCGCGAACTGGTTACCCCAACAAAACACATAATAAACAAAGACAAAAATATCCAATCATCGCTCCGAGGGAAAAACCCTCTCGGTGATGTAAATTTTTTTGCGAGGAATTGCCTCGATGAAATATATTTTAGCGGTGGAAGTAATAAGCCTCGTTGATGTTATTAATCTCTAGCGTTGCGAGGACGAACTTCGATGAAATAATCAATCTGCAGCGTTGTGAGGGCATGCCTCGATGAATTAATCAATCTGTAGCGTTGTGAGGGCAGGCCTCGATGCATTAATCAATCTATGGCGTTGCGAGGACAAGCCCCAGTAATGTGATCATAATAACGATGATAATAACGATGATAACCACGTCAGGGAAGAAATCATTTTAGACCCCTCCCGCCAGTTCGCAGTATAATGAACTTGTTTAACTGCCGTACATGAACTATTAGCAATCTTGCGTGAAGAATTTAGAAGTGTTATAATGTAACACTTACGTATATGCATCCAGAAACTTATTCGTAATTAAACAACAAGGTGTTTTTCTGACTAAGTGAATTTTCTGAAATCTTCTAGCACGTGGGTTATTTAAATAATCCTGATTGTTAACTTGTTTTAGCACTAGCTGACGATTAAGAAAACGTAACTTGATTGGTGAATTTACAAACAATTAAACAAATTTACAGCACGTGTTTCGCGTTGACCGGAAGTCCGCATTTTTCCGATTAAAAGGCCGCAAAGATTCACCGCGCGGGTTTGGGACACCTGAGTGACGTTGGCTACGATTGATTGTCGTTAAATAAAGGCTTCCTCCCATTTTATTAACTACCAAACCAATTAATTTAAACCTAGCTCTTACCACGTGTTTACACCCACACAAGCACATTCAGACTGACGCTACGCCATGCTGCCCTGTCTCTACTAACCCTCTGACTAAATTCCCCTAGCGCTATAACTAAACCCTGCAGAACAACCTTGATGCCTGGGGTAAACTACATGCATTAAACCTGACGCGCATATTTGGTTGCCTATGTTTAACGATTTCTTTTTGTGATTGAATTTATTTTTCTTTCAAATTCAAATTATTCAAGTGTGATTTCGCGCCGCTGTTAATTAATTTCAGCGCGAAAATTTTGATTTAAATTCGGTCACCACAACGTGATGAAAAATTTCACCAAACTTTTAAAAAGAATGATAATGGTAAACCGTTTTTGAAAAAACTCCGAGAGAGATTGTTCTGTATAACTTATATTCAAAATTTCACTGCAATAAGTCTGTTAATAATGGAGATATTACATTCTGAAAATGTATTGAACACCCTGCACGTAAAAAATAGGGAGTATTTTTAGTGTTTTTGATAAAGTGAAGCATAAATCGTCTAAACGTATGAAAATGTATTTTGGGTTGCATCTTCGGCTTGGTTAGGTTCATTATTACGCGTGAATTACCTTGCACCACAGCATAGATAACAATCAGTAGAGACGGCTCGCCGTTTTTCGTGACCCGTTTTCGTGGGTGGTCGTTCGCATTATGACCGAATGAGGGCGCCCAACTGACGTCTAAAATATTTGAAATTTGGCAGTTTTGTTGCAATATTTTTGCCAGTTTTGCTTGTTTAAGACTGCTTTTCCGGTAGAATTGTACAAATAGTATAAAAATGTAATTTTCACAATAAAAGGTAAAATCTTTGTCCGATGAATTTTCATACCGGATCCCTGTTGTGCGCCTTATTCTCTCCCTCGTGTTTGGAATTCTTGGAAAAGATAGTAAACATAACACATTTTTTGTTTAAAAAGTCGTCGCAAACGAACAACAACGGTGGTTATGAATAAAATAAAAACTGTAACAAATCAGCGTGTTTATAAATTAAATATGGACTTTTCTTTTTTCTTATTGCGATTCACGATTATACGATTTGAGCAAACTAGACAGTTTGCAATAAATTGCGTACGAATCAATTTTTGAAATTGTAAATGAAGTGATACTTCTTAAATTGGGTGGCGACATCTAGGAATAGTTTAGGCAACGACCACCCATGACGGCTTAAAATTCGGGTCAGAAAGAACAAAGGCGCCGACACGAGCTGTCTCTACTGATTGTTATCTATACTGTGCTTGCACTCTAAGGTAACGAAAGTTTAAGTGTATTGTTGATTGCCTAAAGTGTATATTAAATCCGGGATTAAATTATGACGCCACTACGCTATCACATTCCACTGCACTGTAGCCGACTTTCAAAAAACCCTTTTGAAAATTGTACAACAACGCCGCCCCCTTTATGAACAAGGTAATCCCAACCCGATTTGTCTAACACAACCGTGATTAAAAACTGGAATCACTGAAAGAAAACCATCCGAACAAAGTTCTCTACTAACTTGTCAAAATGATTCCTTCTATCCCGCCGCCTCCACCATTTCGCCGCTGCGCCGCCTACCGTCCGCCAGAGGGCTAAATCACGGTATGCCCGGCTGTTGCCATGACAACGACAGCTTCTTCGGCTTGTCCAACCAAACTCGCCGGTTCCGCAGCGAAGTGACGTCGCGTCGCGCTCTTCATCTATGATCTCGCGAGATATTTTTGAAACATTTTAGTGTTTACACAAAGTGTCACACATGGAAAACTCAAGAATGAAGTAAGTACAGTGATAAGGTTTATGGCAGCGTCTAAAACAATTAATGACGTGGGTTTTATCAGCAGGAGCGCATTTACGACTTTCGCGGCCCGAACTCGGTTTTTCGCATTTTTTGCATTTTTTCTTTTTTTTTCGTCCATAATTCGAATGAGAGGCGACGACCGAAATCCCCGGATTATTTGAATAGTAAACAAAGTAAATTAATTCTCGAACTTGCGGTTTGCGCTCTATTTTCCGCCTATCTGCACCGGATCGAGCCCGTATCGTTTTATGTAAAACAAACAGCTTTTTGTAAATTTGTAACTAAGTCAGTGCACTTTTTGCGGGTGTTTACCGTCTGGATAAATATGTGCCGCAGTTATTTCGGTCGGAGTTGTGAGTGGATGTTTCTTTTTCTTGTAGAATTAATTGTTTTTGTTTGTCGTAACTTGTTGATTGGTGTTGGCGGGTATTGCCTGACAAGAAAACAAATTTATTAAGAAATCGATACCTAGATTGGCCCGATGGACGGTTAAGTAATGCGGTATTATTCAAGAGAATATGTAACTAGGGGGAATTGGCTTAAGTAAATAATAACATAACGTGACTGATAAGTGGGTTTATTCTGTATTTTAATAATGGACTCTTTTGTTACGGTTCGATTTAATTGTGATCAGAGATGAGGAAGAGCCTACGAAAATATTTTATTTTCTTGCTGTAGAAAACATCTCTGTATTGTTTTTGGATTTTCATCTAAAACAAATAAACAATTTTAGCGTTCGGATTTTCCGAATAAAACTCACGTACGTTGTTATGAAGTTACCGACGACGTTAAAAACTGATTGATTCTTATAATTTATAATTGAGCGTTGTCGCACACATACAAACTATGCACTCATGTTTTCAAATTATAATTCAAATTCATTAAACGTACCTACTCATTGTACGTCACTGATAATTCCCGACAATTTCATTGTCTTATATTTTTGGTTTTTTGATCAGATACCTTATAATGAATAAATACTGAGTACCCTAAGCCGTAAAAAATTTGTTTTGTTCTGCAATTCACCTGGCCACAGTCGTTATTACTACTTTATGCGATGAACACTTCATTTCTTTCATTTTTTTATCCAGTTAACAGATAGCAGTCTAATGTACTAAATTTGGTGAACAGTAGGGCCGTCAATCAATGCCAATTTAATTTTATCATTTTTCTGTAACGCAATTAAGGACTTGTGAACGGAAGCTTTGTGGTGCAAATAAAGCACACCTTTGGAAATTTTTCCACGAAGTTTCTGCGCATTTTTTTCTCGTAATATAGTTAATAATGTGGAGTACTATTTTGCATTTACATTTTTTCCCTATCCTAAGTGGTCCGACATAATTATTCCACCCTTGCCTCCAAAAAATTGTGCGAAACTTTTCCTATCGATTTTGGACATGAAGCTAATTGTGCAGGGGAAACCATTGTGTGTTTTCTATGCTTGTTGTGTTTCTGGATTGTAATGAGATATCCTTGTTTCGTCCACAATTATTGTGATACGATCTAAAATATTGGAAATATTATCTTTGAAACGGCAGCAAAATGACATTCCGGCATAATTTTTTCAAACCCAAATTATGATCTGAAAGATATAATTTTTTTTCCGGACTGGACACAGAAAGAGTTTCCCAACATGGTGTTTATCTTTGACGTTTGTTTTGGCTTTCTCAGATTGGACAACCCAGTTTTCTATGATGACCTAGGTAATAAGATTCTTGAATGTATCTGTCTATCCTGAATAAATTTCCCCTTTCACAAGCCGATTCTTAATCGCCGATTCAATTTTACTAAAACTGATATTTATATCAGATGTTTTCTTTAAAAATTCATAGTGTAGACCCGGAATGGAGGAATTATTTATCAAGTAGCATTCACACAATTCAAAGTACTGTTTTAGACGCGTTGGAATCAAAGGAAAACAAGATTTCCCTTATATCTTTTTTAGTTTTAGTTTTCGAAGGTGATTTTTTTTCCAAAAAATTATTGACGTCTAAATTAAGCTGTTTTATTAAAACTACTATAATCAGTACCAACCTCTTCTAGAAAATACATTATTTATTTGTGGTTCAGAATCAGAGATAAACAAATACATTAATCGTGCTACACAAAAAGAGACCAAATTTATGAATGCCGTCCATATCTCCGCTTAATCTACGGACTGCCGAAGAAAAACTTCAGTGGCCGTATTTCGTAAAAGTCGCTTCAATATCTCTGACAAAAATGATAAAAAACTAGGTGTAAAGATATTTGGAAAGAACTTCCCTCTCGCCTGAAGTAGAATTAAACAATTTCAATTTCTTAGCAAAAATGTAAAATTTGATTTTCTGAATTATTTTTTTTTAAATCATAACGCCCATAAGTTATATAAAATAAAGATATATATGAACGTCATAAAGGTTTTTGGGAGGGATAAGTAATGAATTTGCAATAACGATTATTACGATCCTTACGATATTTGCAAGATTTCAGAGAAGTCGGTTTTCGGTGTCTGGGTAAAAAATCAAGACAGATTCATAAACATCAACTATGGAAGTGTGTTATTTTATTCAATTTAATCCATATTTATTATTTTGCGAACTTTTTTAACTGAGCGTGATCAGACAAATTTTGGTTAGCGTTTTATAATGAGCAATCAAAAAATTCTTCTAGGCACTAGTTGATCGTGCTTTTTTCGGGAACGTAAGTAGTAGAAAGCCACCGAAACGTCTGTTACTTCTGTCGATTGGATTTCCGTGTTGCATTTAGTTGTTTGTACGTCCAAGTTTGCATCCCCGTTATAACCTCATTTTTTTGACATGTCGTGTCTATGTAAATACAGACATACGTTTTAGTGGCAAAAGACGGTCGACAAATAAATAGCCTGTTTTTAACTTGTTATGATCATTGTATATAATATTTAATATGTACACTTGCGAGCATTGAAATTGGGCCACTATTCACATCTGACTTTGAATCAAAATTTCCACCGAACTACAGGGTTTCTATAAATGATTATAGGGTCGCAGTAGGTCATGTAAACGTGCCGCCTCTCAGATTTAACTGTACGGAAATCCGTACCAAGTGCCCAAGGACGCATGACAAAGATCACACATGGAGTACACACATGTGTATAACTGGTTCTCTAAACGCTTCCTATGTTTTTAAAAAATAAAACTAATTCATTACGATAAAAAGAAACAAATTTATCGCCGTTAAACATCACAGTAAATCTTGAAAATGTTCATCATTCTGTTCAAGTCATCTCAAATAATCAACAATTTCCTCAGATGAAGTCTTCTATGAGATTTCTCTTTGCTGATATTGCCATTTCGAACAAATCTCTAGATTACATCTCTCATGTAGGCCTTCAACGATGTTTCTTGAATTATTAAATCACAGTATTTGGCCAGATATTCTTGCTTACAAGCGGTTACAGAATGTACCCACTCTTCGTTTACGAAGTCCCATTGCGATAATAAGACATAACAATGAAAGTGTCTTGTTCAACAGAATAAACCATTTTCACAGTCCTCGCTTCCTAGCACAAAAACAAAATTTTCGTACGCAACCACCAAGAGTCCTGAAAATTACTGTTTTGTTGTTTTGAGCTTGGATTAACGAGAATTACTGTAATTCGCACTTGAAAAACATTAAAACAATAAACGCGACTACTTCAAATGACAGGATACAAATGACATTAGACATTAATGTGACAAGTGAGAACTGTCATAATAATGCATATTCGCGGGCATAATTTCAGCGAAGCGGGATTTTTCAAATCCATGGCCAACTACGCCCTTAGAATCATCTATAAAAGCCCTGTATATTACACTTAAAGAAACTAAAAAACCCATTAGAAAGACCAGATGTTTGTCTTTAAAATATAGCTACGAAAAACTCCATGAAATTGTTTTGCAATATTCTTTTTTGGGCAAAAAAGAAAATTGTTCAATAACGAGATTTTTTATGTTAACAAAATCAACAATTTAAAGAAGAAAATGATGTTAATATTCGGTGTTGCCACCCCTAGCTCTATTAACCCTGCGCATTCGTCTATTCATTGACTCAATTAAGGTGACGACAACTTCTTGCGGGATATTAGCCCATTCTGTTCAATGGGTATTCTGAGCTCTTGGAGTGACCCAGGACCCGGAATCCTATTTCTAATTTTTCATTTAAGTTTATCCCACAGATGTTCTATAGGATTCATATTCGGGCTACGTGCTGGCCAATCCAAACACGCTATACGCTATATTTGAATAGTGGCCCGATTTTAATGCTCGCAAGTTTATATAATTTCATAACAATAAGTTTGGTGTATACGGAGATTATCTGTCTAATAAAATTGCCAACAGACTACAGACGACAGATACACAAATGACAGACAGACAGAAATGGGAGATCCACTTTTTCACATCTACAATACTTACAATACTAGCTTACGCTCGGGAATTAAAAAGTTCCGGTACATATGCGAAGTGACGGGTTTTATGTACAATTGCTTCAGTGTTGTTTAAAAACCCTTCACAATTAGTGCTACCATGGTACTTTTTTTTTCTCTTTCATCTATGAAGACACTATCACAATGCATTAAACATTCAATTTACTGGATATTAGGGATATTAGGACGCCAAGATTAAGTTTGTACTTAAGATGTGGTGACAATTGAGGTCATATTTGATGACGTAAGCAAAATAGTTTTTGTATTTTGGATTTTTTTAGAAAGGATTTTGAAATCTAGAATTACAAATCCAGGAATGTTTAAATCACTGTTTGCTTACACTTTTGTCTTAATAATTTTTTTATTTTATACTGTATGCGATTTATTATTTAAATAAATGTACTAACATTTGTGACAACTAAAAGGGGAGTTAATTAATGTTTGTGTGTTTTTTTTTGTCAAATTGGCAACACTCTCAAAAGTTGACCTTACCTGACCTGACCTAATTGTCAAATTGGAATTTGTGGCACCAAGCCATTAGCTGTCCTCTTCCCATCA